ATTTTAAACAATATCCCCTTTTGTTAAAGTCTTTAAATCATGAATACCTAAGTTTATTTGAGTAAGGTTTAAAAAATTAGTCAAGTTATTATTGTATGTTGAATGTTAAAAAAATCAGTTAAGCCGATTTTATTAAAATTAAAGTTTAGAATGTAATTGCAAATAGTGCAAGTAATTACTATTTTTATTCTAAATAGAAGTGATTCTTTATTAATTAACAAATTCTTCCAAAAATCAATGAGGTTATTGTTCATGGCAATATAAATTTAACCAAAAGTCACAATAATTTTTTACATGGATTACTAACAAATGACTTATTCCTAATTTTGTTCGATCCTTATTTAAAAATTAAAGTTATTTCACGGACAAATACGACTATATTCTAACAAAGACATAAATCTGATTTTAATCTAATATACAGTGGATTATTCTTAGAATAATTTAGTTTATAATACGCATCTTATACTCAGTAATCCAGTTCTTTGAAATAAAAATAAAAAATTACATTTGATTGAAATTATGAAAGTATATGCTATTAAGTAAGAAGCATAGATGGTTTTTTTTGTTATAAAGATAGATTAAATTATAAGGAATTTATATAAAAACGCATAAAAAGATAGGGAAGATTACATAGTTCTTATCTTAATGATTAATAACTGTTCATTTTATGCAAAATTATTATTGAAAGTAGCTACTTTGGATGTAATTCATACAGAGCTTATTTAAGATTATTGTTAGGGATGAATAGAATTATGATCTCTAAATCTTATTAGGGGTTAGAATACTTATTGATATTGATGATCAATATATCTTTTAAGTCCTTTATTCTATCTAATACTTTTAATATCAATTGAAAATAACAATTAACAGGTTACGAAAATATTACCAAGATTAGAGAAGAGTGATTTTAAAAATCATTCAATCCCAATGTTTTAACTTTGTTTCATTTAAGATTATTTTAAAATTAAGGATATTTTTTTAATTTTTGAAATGTATCTTTCTTCTTATCTTTGTTCTTAAATGTATCATTATGTTTATTATGAACTGAAAATCTAAATTATACTAATAAGAAAATGATTAAAATTATAATTGTAATGTTTTTAATGAATATTCAAATTCACTTTTGCTTTTGTTTTAAGTCTTCTAAAAAGCAACTACCCTTTGATTTAAACAAAGATTTTAAATCTTTCCCTTAATGATTAATGAATTGTCCTTATAAGATAAGTGTTCCTGATGCTTCTAACTAAGGATTCTAACATATTCTAAGTATTGTACGATCAGGATTAACTAAATAATAATGAATAATAAATACCATTTGTCAGTAAGGAGATATTCTGAAGTGGCAGATTAAACTAAGCAAGCAAATCTTTATCGCTTCTATCTGATTGAAATATTTCTTTTGATGTTTTTATATCCCATAAACGGATAGACTTATCGTCACTACCAGATGCTAATGTAGTACCATCGAAAGAGTAACAAATTGAATTAACATTATTTAAATGACCCTCTAATTTGGCTTTTAATTATCCTGTCCTAACATCCCATAAACGGAT